CTTTCTATTTGACTTAATACTCTATTTCACAAGTGCTGCAGTGAACAATGACTAATGTTGTTTGTCCTGAAAACCTACCAAATGATTGCTTTAACTACCTTGCTTCCTGGCCTTTGAAGCATCAGTCATTGATATTCTTCCTTTCACACGCCTTCTCACACAGATGTGTGAAAAGCATCAGGGCTTTTATCTTTTTTGAGTTTAGTGAGACCAGTTGTTCTCACTCATACAGCTTGAGTCTGCCAACAGTGGGAAAACCAGAAAAAAGCTTAACTTTTAAAGTCAGAGCTTAAATTAAAAGCATGGTGGAGCTGCACAGATGAGTGAGTGTTCTTAGTGGGTTGACGTTTTACATTACATGGACTTATTTGACTCGGTGGGAACATCAAAACGAGTCTCTGAATATTGAGTTCACCTGCGGCCACTGACAATTTGTGCAGATAAGAGATGAGACGATTAACCTCTACAGCCTCTCCTGACCCGGAGCAGATGATGAATGATTTAGCAATTTCCCCGCTGAAAACAAACTATTTCAAAAATATAGAGCCAGATATGATGTGAAAAACACCAGCATGGCCTCCCTTTTTAAAAACATCCTCAGCCTAAAGGTCTAAAAACGTAAAAGTGGTTCTTTCAAGGACAGCAAAACAAGCTCCACTCTTCCCCAACACACACACACACACACACACACACACACACACACACACACACACACACACACATACACACACACACACACACACACACACACACACACACACACACACACACACACACACACACACACACACACACACAATGCCTTTCCACACATCTGTTTGAGACTTGTGCATACACACACCATTCTCACACACAGTCCCTTTCCTCTTATCACAGTCTTTGCTATGAAACAGCCTCGCTGACACCAGGCAGCTGGAAGATGGAGGGACGTGCCTGTTTGTGCGTTTGAATTGTCTGTGTAGATGCAGGCAGTTGTGCACGTTTGGTTAGAACAAACGCACATAAAGATAGTGAGAACAGCGGCGTCCTGTAAGCGGGAGATAATCCCTAACAGAGAGACGACCCAAAGGACACAGAGACGGAGCCACTCTCGAGGATTAGATGGGGATGGATAGAGAAACAGCAGCAGGAGATATACGTCTTCATGTCTAATTACGTGACAGAATACATGTTGGGAGTACAAAGAGGAAATGCAGAGAAGGCTCTAGAGTTCTGAATGTATAGACTGTGAATGCAAGTTCAAATCAAGGGCAAGCTGGCAACTGCAGTTCTCACCACTTTCTATTTGAAACATAAATGAGATTCTGACAATGGGATGGCTTGCCAGTGCTACATAGAAAAAAAAATCAAAATCAATCATATAGTCCAGGGAAAGAATGAGCCTGTGGTCACATCTCTGTTCATGGGATTTTCAAGCATCACTGACTGGATTCAGTACAGCACTGTGTGTTTCTTCTTCAGTGGATTTGCTTTGCCAAGATCCTGCTTCAGTGTTGCATGCCAAAATAGATTTCACTCTGTAAGGCTTGCCACTCTGTGTTGACAAATGACTCTGCTAACAGTGATTACCAGAGTAAATTGAGTTCTTAGATTCACAGGATTTATTCATTTTGTTTCTTAAATGAATCAACAATTTCAAATGTCTATAAACATTTTCATCCCCAAGGGCTTGTTTATTTTCTTTTATTACATTAGATTTTTCAACCCCAAAAATACACCTCTCATAGAAACAAAATGTCACGCACATGGACTTAAATTGCATACAAATGTAAAACCGAAAATAATTAAGGGCATTAATCATTCATCTCCATCAATATTCAATAGCAGCGACTCTGGCAGCAGTTTCGGCCATTAGCCTAATGAATGTTGATCATTTGGATCCACTACACACTATTTTGTTTATACCTTATTTAATCATCTCATGGCAGATTTGTTTAAATTCATATTTATCTTCATGGAAATCTAGTTTGTCATTGGAAAACAGACCTGATAATTGACCCGAAATGATTTGGCTCACCCCAAATTACACACCGATGATTTACATATTTCATAGTAAACTGACGTGAAGAATTGAAACAGAGCTAAATGCTAATGTTAGTGATAACATACCATGCTAACGTTTAGCAGGCAGAGTTTTTAGTGAATGTTATTGTTTAGGATTGGGTAAGTTGGTTTACTTGTGTGTGTTTAATTGCACAAACAACACTGAGGCTAAGGGGATTGTGATTATTTAGTCATGAAACAGATTCTTGGACAAACTCTTATTTTGATAGGATGATGATGTTAATGAAAAGTCAGAGGATTACAATTCATCCCATTGGGAACATGTTGGGGACGTGTTAAGACCACATTTTATGAAAATCTGTCCAACAATTGTTGAAACTATTAATCAAAAAACCCATTTGTCAACCTGCTGGTGTGGATATTATAGTCGGAGGTCACTAAAGTCATTAAGATTTCTACCTAATACTTCCACTTGTTAAGATATATTAAAGTGGACCAAGCCACCTGACTAAGCTAGCCACATTTTGTTTTCTAACCAATGAAGGTTGATGTAGAGGAAACTTCTGTGTAGCAATGCAGTGGGAGTCACCGACTCAGGAAGGAGACACGGGAAGAGCAGTAGCTTTGATGTCAAACACATGATGGTTTATTTGGAGTTAACGGCCGGAGGATTCACATCACAAGTCCAAGAGTCAGAGGTTCTGACTTCACGGTAGAGTTGCCACGTCAATTCTGAAGAACTCTACCCCAGACCCATGTATTTAGCTAGTTCAGAGAGCATCATCAACATGCTGCATAACAAGATAGAATCATAACACCTCTATCAGCTGACGCCAGCAGGCAGGAACAGGGAGACAGAACACTGAGAGCACAGCAGCCAAGGTTACAGGTGCGTGTGCTCAGTCAGGACAGTTTGAACTGATACACTGGGTCAAAGTTATGGGCCTTGGAAAATATTTCCACAACAGTTGATGCTTTGTCTTTGAACCGTAAATGTCAAGTTAAAACTAGAGCAATACATTCATTTCTGTCCATATGTGTACCCAACATTGATTGTTTATAGATTTGTTTTCCTTTCTCACACTAAAGAGCTTTTTCAAAAAGCCTTATCTCACTCAGTGTGATTCATGGGGTCAAACTAAATGGCCATTGGGGTGAATTCAATTTCCAGTCTCTTTATTTCCAACCCTATACAATTGATAGAAGTATCTTCCCATAAGGATTTTACCAGAAGAACATTTATCCCTTGATATTTCATATTAGATATACACCCCCCAAGACGAAGAGTCTTTCTAATGGAGACTCATGTTAACTTGAGGGAGACTTATTGTAAAATACTAGGGCAGAAAGACAGATGAGCTAAGACAGAGAGAAAGAAAAGAGGCTAGATAGATCAGTAATTGCCCAAAGCACACTACAATTGCTCTCCAGGGGGAAATGTGTCTGTATGTGTGTGCGCCCAACTCCATATGAATCCCCAAATCCATTATAACCAGCTGTGAAAAACCACCAAGATCTACCAGTAATTACAATAACTTTTCAACTTGAGATTTTCCATTTGCAGAGCTGTTTGAAAGGCATTAAAAAGAAACGAAGAAGGGAGAGGATTTCAAATCTTTCTCAAGTATTTCCTCTCTTGTATCATTCACCTAGCAGCTCGGTATTTGTTCTTCATGGCTTGTGTCTGGTCAGAAGCAAACACAGCGTTTGCGAAGCCCCTTGCCCTCCTCCTGTTAGCCCTTCAGTTGTCACACTGCACATACTGTACTTCTAAGGTTCAAAATACCTTTAATCAACGAGTTTTGTTGGATGTCACAGATAATGATTTTGGCTTGGGTTGCTGAAGAGTAAACTTCCGCAAATCCAATAAACAGCAGGACAGGACTGCTGATGATGCAACTGGGACCAACTTACAGTAGAGAAAAACGTTAGTACTGTTGGGGAAATATTTTCCAAGGCCCATAACTTTGACCCAGTTTATCAGTTCAAACTGAGCACACGCACCTCGTAACCTTGGCTGCTGTGCTCTCAGTGTTCTGTCTCCCTGTTCCTGCCTGCTGGCGTCAGCTGATAGAGGTGTTATCATTCTATCTTGTTATGCAGCATGTTGATGATTCTCTCTGAACTAGTTAAATACGTGGGTCTGGGGTAGAGTTCTTCAGAATTGACGTGGCAACTCTACCGTGAAGTCAGAACCTCTGGTTCTTGGACTTGTGATGTGAATTCTCCGGCCGAAGCTCCAAATAAACCATCAGTGTTTGACATCAAAGCTCCTGCTCTTCCCGTGTCTCCTTCATGAGTCGGTGACTCCCACTGCATTGCTACACAGAAGTTTCCCTTACAAGTACAAAATGTTGTTTTTTTTGCTCCAGTCCCACAAAAAAAAAAGGGCTTTTACCATGAAAGTAAAGCTAGGTTAGGTTCCATTTTTTAGATAGTGAAGAAGTTAGCTAAAACCCAATGGACTCAAAGATGAACTGATTAGCTTTTATTGGTTATTATACGGTTCATCTCCGTCCCATTCTCATGTACGCAATGTTTAAGGAATGTCTTGAGAACACTTCAGATTTTCTACAAACATCCATCTGAACTCAAGGATGAACTTATTTGAATTCTGAAGGTCACTGTGACTTCACAAAACATGTTTTTTGACCATAACTCAAATAATGATACGCCTATTAAGTCAATTTCACACAAATGTCAGATCGGATAAGATGAATAACTGATACATTTTTTGCAACTTGACTGGATGACGGTGGCTTTTTGGCACAAGGCAGTAATTCTAGTTGCTTGTGTTTTTGTTTTGGAAAGGTTAAAAAAAAGACACTATCCATAATTAAAATACTGAGTACCTCGCTTCAGGTTGCAAATAAATCAATAGCTTGACGTAGATAAACCTGACAAGCCTATATGGTTGCTAAGCTTTGGTTGGACAATCGCTGTTCAGGGGGAGGGGTATGCATATGGAAGGTACACATTACAAACACTGTACTTACCCTCTGAGCTGATTTCACGGGAGCGGACAAGGTCACTCTTGTTGCCCACCAGGATGATTGGTGTGTGTGGCTGGGACTCTCTGAGGAGGAGGCGGAGCTGGGCGGTGCGGTGGAAACTTCGCCTGTCAGTCACTGAGAAGACCAGAATACACACATCGCACTGTAGAGTGGACAGGTCCTGGGGATACAAAGACACACACACACATACACATGAATAAATCAACACGAACAGTTTTGCATATAAGTAGAGGTCCGACCCGATGACAGCCGTATAGGTGTGGGATGTCAAGTAGCTACAGATCGTTTACATCCCATTAAGAAATTGTCCTTGAACCAAAGGGCTCATTAATAAAATGTGATAGAATGGTAAATTGGGTTCCATATAGCCCTTTCCAATTTTTAAGACCCCTCAAAGGGCTTTCACATAAACAAATCAGCATTCACCCAATCACACACATTCATACAGAGGCTGCCATACAAGGTGCGACCTGCTCAGAGAGACTAACATTCACACACTGTTGCCATGCCATCGGGAGCTAATTGGGGTCAGTAATCTCGCCAGACGTATACATCGATATGATCGGACCCCGACATTCTGCATGGACAACCACTCTAACAGCAACAGAATGACAGAAACATCTGAATGGTGTACTTTATTTTGGATTAGAACACTGAGGGTAAATCACAGCATGATGAAGAACTGATTTTGAGACTTCTTTTTGGTGACTCACAGGGGGGTGCAGGCATTTGTTCCCAGTAAAAAAAGGTTGCAGCGGGATTGAAAAATCCCAGAGAGCCTAAACTAAATCTATACTGCCAGGAAGCAAAGACGCAATAAAAAGACTGAGCAAAATGTATTTGTTCATATATTCCTGTTTAGGCACAATGGCCGCAGTCTTTTTTAGGCCTGCTTTATCCATTTCCTTCAAACGGTGAAGATGTATCAATGTTGTTACCGGCTGCTAGTTCAACAGTTACTGTATATTTGTGTTCACTTTCTTCATGCTGCTTCATACCATGGATGTGTACTTATTTGAATTTATTTGAATTTACTTGTGCTGCTTTTTAATTTAATATGTTAGTCTACTAACTCTATTTTTGCCTCTTTATCACTGTCCCGTTGCTGTTAATCGTTGAAGACACCTTATTATGCTTTTCGGGGATTTTCCATTTCCTGTGTTATATAGGTTTTTGTGCATGTAAATGGTCTGCAAAGGCTAAAATCCCAAAGTTCCCTGCAAAGGGAGTTTCTCTCTCCCTGCCTGATACGCCTTCATAACATTGTGACATCACTATGTAACACACTTCTATTGGCTAGAGCTCCAACACAATGTACGAGACATGCCAAAGGGCGGGACATTTCCGACACATCCGGTTGACCAATCACAGAGCCGGTCAGCTAACCATTCAGAGCAGACTGGGCTCTGGTTTCAGACATAGGGTGAAAAGAGGTGCTGCAGCACAGGCAGTATGAGAAAAATATAGCACTTTTTAAACATTCAAGCATGTAAACAAATATATACGTACAAAATACAAATATGATAATCTTTTACAGTAAACCTGAAAATGTAAACGACGCAGTAACAGATTGTGACCCTCAATGTGTTAGTCTTATGCAACGCTTAAAATAAACAATATATTGAAACTATATTGAAACTGAAACTATATTGATTCCTCCCTGAGTCCTTGTTTTCTTGTGTTGGAGCACAGTGCTAAAGCAAACAGTGGGCACTCAGGTTTTTACCACCGTCCCATGAGAGGACGCAGAGGAGTCTCTGCTTAACTGGACTTTACGGGCGACACGCTTTACTTTGAATCTCCTGACCCTTTTAACAGTGTCCACGTAACATCCCACTGGGGCTTCCTGTCACAGAGGCATAATTAGCCCAAGTGGCTCTAGCTGAAACAGCAGCTTAGACTGCCTGGGACCATCTTTGTCCTCTCTCGCTTTCTCAACCTGATTCTATCAGACGCATTTCCATTTGACTGAAGGTGGGTGTTAAATAGGTCATGGAAAGTTTCCCCTGGCTAAAGCTTGAGTCATAAAGTCATAATATCAAATGAGCCTGGCCAAATCCCTCCCAGCTGATCATTTGTTGACCTTATTATTTATCAGTCAAAGGGTCTGCTAATTTGCTGAGTGATATTAGTAGCAGGGACTTTATGCCATATGGTTTGGGGTTTAGTAAAATGAATTCCCTGTGGTTGTGAACTGTGGAGTAAAATGCAATCCAATTTTGGATTTTAGTCTGAAGCCTGTGGTCATGAGGATTAGGTAGGCACCATTTGTGTCTCACAGTATTGATGCTTTTTATGTGACTCAATGTCTTTGTTCATAAAAGAACATCCACCTTTCAGATCCTCATGCTCCCCTTAAAGCTGCACCCAATAAAGAACTTTATGGACAATAAGCCAAATGACCTTTTAGTCAAGCATTAAGCTGCTTAACAGCCAGCTGTTTCCCTTTGGAGTAGGATCAAATTAATGTTCCCATTTTACTGAATATCGTACTTGTATTAATAAGCGTTAATTCACTTCGAATAAATGCTAAATTGTCTGTTGGAGGTGTAAGCAGGCATCTGCTAGCTTGCTAACGAGTATACGTTAGCAAGCTAACCTAAAGTAAAACAGTAACGTATAAGGTATGAGTCAATGTTATTGTATATTTAACATATACCTTAACAATGACACATATAAACGTTACTCTTTCAAAATTTCTTTGAAGACACATGACTCTGAATAAATGCCAAAATAGTCTGTTGGCAACTGCTAGCTCGCTACCATGTATACAGTATATGTTAGCAATCAAGCAGTTTCCTACTTATGCATGTAAATGTTTGCAGCAGTAACGTTTAAAGTAAAACAGTTACTTATATATGTCAATGTAAAGGTATAGGCATTATGTTAGCTAACTTGCTAACATATACCTAAACATTAACATATACGGTACTCTTTTAAAATGTCCTTAAATATATTTGAAAGTTAGATACAGAAAATGTGTTCCATTGTTGTTGTTGACACTGTCACGTTGTATCTGCCTTAGCCTCCGAGATAACTATTATAAGGTTGTTTTATGTCTTCAACATTGCTTGCTCTCGCACACTCATCATGACCTTTTATATTTTAAAAGCCTTGGCATCACCACTACTACTTTCAGTTTCTTTGTATCTAGCAATGGAGGTCAGTGGTTTCGAAGAGGTTAAAACAAAAGTAATGTTATCTTAATTTGGGGCACAATCAATACAAACCATTTTTCTCCTGAAGACAGAAATCTGAAACCAGACTCCACAGAACATACATACAGGAACAACCGTTTTATATCCATATGGGTTTTATTGTGAAGCACAGACTATAACTGTCGTCTTAAATCTAAACTGTTTTATGAGGCAATACAATAAAATAAAGTTTATATTACAGCCTAGATCTCAAAGGCTTTTTGCTTGACTTAGCTGTCGATATGCTCAGAGGTAATTCTATTTGAAGCTTTTATCCATCACTTTCCATTGTGTTATTTCGAGAAACTATATGCTAACACAATCAAGTTTTATTTCAACTGAAAACACTCCTCTAGAACCATAAATACTGGTGACTAAATATACAAACATGTTATTCCCACCATATAACTCAATCTCTTTGTATGTGTGAGTGCCTGATGCCCCTGTCCTACATCCACAGCCCCTAAGGTAAATCCTTGCCCTCCAGAGAGTTTCAGGCGCCAGAAAAATGCACGTGTCAAGCAGCCAAGTTGTATCGGATGAGACCCTGAAGCAGGAAATTCATAGGGAGCGCCTTGGCACTCTTTCTGTTTGACGGGGCACAGGAAGAGACAGGGAGCAGAGAAAGAAGGAGGGAACGGAGCCATTGGCATGGAAGGAAGCTCTTCCACCTGTCACTGTCTGATTTAGGGGATGAGGAGGAAAAGTAGAAAAAATAAGACAGGAAGAGAGAGACAGAAAAATTGGGAGGCACTTAGCTTTGTAAGCAAAGAAGTACAAACGGGTAGTTGACATTGATTTGGAGCGAGTACTTGAGGAGAAAAACTGTGACCAAATAAATATACCCCTCTGTGAAAAGGAACAGTGCCAACTCTCTCCCTTTTCCTCTCTTTCTTTCTCTCGTTAAGCAGCTCCTCTCTGTTGACAGAGAGCAGGCCATCTGTCAATACCTACTCCCCCCCACACACATTCATATGGACCAAAACAAAAGCAAAGCCCATAGAGTCATATACTAATGATATGCAAATACACACAGATTAGTGAGCAATCAGGAAAATACCAATTAAATCATCTTAATAACAACAAACTCATCTGGTTTACCAGGCCATTTCCTGATTGGCCTCCTGCTGTGCATTCCTAAACCTCTAAAACACATTTGAAATAAACAATAATACAATACTATTAAGATATCCAGCAGCTGCATAAAATGTAAATAAAATGATTAGCTAAAATTATTTAAATGCTTTTCCCTTAAACTTTAAATTGCAATACAAAAAGATGTTATACTTTCAATGTTTCCAAAATCCATGTTTGTAAGTTTAAGAGCCTACAATGATACAATGATACAACAGGGAGCTTCCAGCTTTGTAACTGAAATCTGGGGGAAGGCATTTCCTGTTTACTTCTGATTTGTTTAGTGAAAGAACCCTAGACTGTATATAAATAGTAGCGGAGTCACCATGACAATGTGTGTGTGGTCTAGTGTTTTGAAGCCTTGAGTTTGGCATGTTGGGTTTCACATCTTCTTTGAATTACCACAAGTGACAAGAAAGACTGCCGCAACCCAAATCCTGAATAAGACATTTTTGACCAATTTTTTTTCAACCAAAATGTGACAATGAGTTTTCATGAACTGAAAACACATTATTAGGGTTAAGGATTAGGGGTTTGTTAGAAAACAACAACACCACCGTGGTAGCAACATATCAATTACAAAGTCCAACATTAATAAATGATCATCACGCCGTATGGTGCAACCTTAAACTCATTAGGAAAATGTTTACTGGGCTAATAAATCAAGTGAGAAATTGGGCCATTTTCTGGCTTGGGGAATAGATTATATTTGGGTTTCTCGATCAGGACAAAATAAAAGTCTCTGTTTTTCCTTACAGTTACTTACAATAAGATGTCATCAGATTGCTTGTAAAAAATGTTCAATACATTTTTCAAATACAGAACGATC